CACCCGACAGGTAACCAGGTCCTGCAAGCCGTGCCCCAAGACTGGAGAGTTCAGAGAAAGGGTTCTAGTCCAGGCTCTTCTGCTAATTGGCTAAGTAGCCCCAGGCAAATCACGTGGTCTCCCAGAGCTCCCTTCTCAAACTCAGAATGGTAAAGGTTAAAGTGCTAAAATAGGGAAGACATGGGGGGAGTGTTTAGAACTCCCCTGGATCCTCTGCAATTTGAGGATTTTGTTAATTCCTCATTTGCACAATTAACTTATATCATGAATAAGATGAAAGGCCCTTGTTCTCAATGGGCAAATGCACATTGTGGTGGTTAACTGTGTGTTAATCTGACTGGGCTTAGGGATGCCCAGATGGCTGGCAAAACACTATTTCTGGGCGTGACAGAAGTGTGTGTCTTCTGCAAGTGTGTCTCCAGAAAAGACTAGCATTTGACTACGTAGTCTGAGTAAAGATGATTTCCCTCACTAACGGGCATTAACCACTCTGTTGAGGGCCTGAGTAGAACAACCACCACCAAAACCAGGAAGGGCATATTTGCTGTCTCTGATTGAGCAGGGGCATCATTGTCCGCCCTTGGACACCAGTGCTCCTAATTCTTGGACCTTTGGACCAGCTGACCTGTAATTCTCAGCCTCCATAACCACACAAGTCAATTTCTTGAACAAATTTCTTTATCTATCTATCTGCATATATTCTTTTTCTATGAAGAACTCTAACATAACACCCTTGCTTTATGCCCAATTCTGGTATGTTTAAAATAAAACAGAGAAACTCAGTTGCCATAGGCTGCCAGCCATGACCATCCTTAAGAGAGCATGAGGCCCAGGAGAAGTGATATAGCTACAGGGATGGGTGCTCATTACTCTCTGCCCCACCCAGGTCTTGACTGAGACTTATTTTTTTTAATTTGTATTTTTAATTGGAGGATAATTGCTTATAATGTTGTGTTGGTTTCTCCCGTGCAACATGAAACAGTTATAAGCATATTATATACATGGAATCTAGGAAAAAGATACTAAGGTTGATCTTTAACTTGGCCCTCCAGGTAGCTGGATCAGTCAGTCACAAGGCAGAATGCACTGTTCTCACAGTAGAACCCACTGGTCTCCTTCCCTGGAGCAAGTTCCACTGTGCAACCACTCCCCACAAATCTGTGAACTCAGGTAAAATCTGTGCACACTAGAGACAGCCTGGGGAAAGAGAGGCTGACCTCCAAGGGCAAGATCCTGCGTGGTGGTGAGAGGGTAACAGGCAGGAAGGCCAGGGGTCCCCAAATGGAGGAAATAGGCTGCAAGTGCCAGACATTTTTATCTCTCTTAAGCGGCAGGAGGAAACAAACTGGCGATATTTTTTCCGTCTCTATACAAATTGAAAAGGAGGTTTCTCTTAAAATGCTGTGTTGCCATGACACCTGGTTTCACCTGAAGCTAACTATTCTCAAACCTTGAGCTAACCAATACATTTTTTCTCATGGAAATGTTTGTCTTAAGCTACATTGATGTACCCCAGACTCTGTCTTCAAGTTCCACCAAATGGCTCAGAACCTACTTGACAAACCAGCATGCTATACTCAGATATTGTTCCCCTAATCTATGTAAACAAAACTATTTGTATGATAATCTGCCCCTTCTACAAGATTCAAGTCAATCGTTTTATGGCCTGGGATGAATCATCTGGTGCCAAGATTATCACAAAATGCAATTTATGGATGAGGGGCCTGGTGCCATCCTGAGTTTTAAGACATTCCTTTCTTTTCATTAACAGACTGCTAGTGACTATATAACATCCAGCTGAAGACTAGCAGGGGGTACTCTTTCTGCCCCCTTCTGATGCCTATGTCAGAAGCTTTCTCTATCTCCTTTATACTTTAATAAAACTTTATTACACAAAAGCTCCAAGAGATCCAGCCTCGTCTCTGGCCCCGGATTGGATTCGTCACCTCCGGAGGCCAAGAATCCCAGCATCTTATTGTTCAGCAGCAACCTTTCAGTGCGGGCATGGAAGAAGAGACTCTTCTGTCCAGGGCCCTCCCCGGGGCTGTGCACCTGGGGGCTTCAGGTGTTTTCCGGCCCCTCCTGCCCCCCCATGTGACCTCCACAAGATGCTTTCTATCTATCATGACAAGTCCTCTCCCAGGTCCTTGGTGTGGCTGAGCTCTAGGAGAGAGGATTCATCAAGAATGCATCGAAGTGATCTATTCTGGGCATTTTCAAAATAAAACACTTTGAACTGATTTTACTTCTGAACACCTGAATAATTTTACAGATTTTCGTTTATAGACCAGAAGAAGATGACATAATTTTGCATCCGTATAAATGAACAACGTAGGTTTGCTTATACACATGTATTTCTGTTCCTTTGGCCAGCTATCATATCTGCTATTTGTTCTCTGAATTTGAGAAGCTGAGTTTATTTTTTCAAAGTAAACAACAACAGCAAAACCCTGCCCGTGCCCAGTAGGGAACAGGTGGAGGGCTAGAAGGTGGATATGTTGCCTCATTGGGAAGGCTTCCCACCTGTGGGGACACGTGCCCATGGGTCTGTCACGCTCTAGGTGGCTTATGTAAGAAGGAAAACACCCACCTCGTCCACGGCAGTCTTGAAAGTAGTTTGGACAAGTGTTACTCTTATTTTGCATGTGAGGAAATCAAGGGCCAGAGAGCGCCTGTCCCGAGATCTCCTGACTAGCTCTGATTGGAAACAGCACAGTCCCCTGTCGCTCTCTGTGGCCCTTGCTGGGACCCAAAGCTCTGACAGTCCTGCTCTGATGTGCTTGAGCCCCAGCCCTCCTCACCCTCCTAGAGACACACTTCAGACACTAAACAGCAGTGCACATGGCAAGCCGACCCCAGAGAAAACTGCTGCCTGAACAGAGATTCTCCAGGGGATGGAAACAGGCCCACAGTCATAGCTGATGCAGGAAGGACGCAGGGGCCTGTGGGAGGAGGTCTTAGAGGGAAAATGACTGCCAGTGGACCCAAGACCTGGCCCTGGGCGACTGGAGGCTCCTCACCAGGTCCCCATCCTTAGAATGAGCATTCAGCTTGCATCCCTGCTCCCAGAAGCTGCCCCAAGGACACAGCCTTGAGATGATGATAGTGGTTGAGACCAACTGGATGACATATGTGCTGAACCCAATGAAGGCCTCTCTATAAACTCCAAAGATGTGGTGGTGGATGTGGAGACCTACTGTCTTATGGGGCCCAAGACAGCGCTATGTCAGTTCCCTTGCCTGTTAAACCTGCCACCCCCCAATCTGGAGTGCCTGCCTCTTTCTTCAGCCTCTCCTTCTCCTTTGAGGACAGTGTCTAGTTTGTGAACCAACAGAGAGGGTCTCACCCTCCATGTTGCTAGAACACGCCTATGTTCAGAGGGAGGAATCAGGTGAGGCCAAAGAAGTCCATCCGGATCCTCCTAGGGTCCCATTTCAAAGTGACAGTTCCTTTACCTACCATCCCTTGCTGAGTGAGCAAATCAAGGAATCTATACCCCTGGGTTCTGGTAAAATGGGGAGAATAAGAAAACTCACCTTGAATGAGGGCAAATGGAGACAATTTGCTTTATAAACAGACAGCTTCTAAAACAACATTACCATGATTACTGTTATGTCGTTGGAGTGTGGACTATGCAAATAGCAGATGGTTTCTGCTTCCTCTTAAAGGGTTGTAATCTAGGAGGAGTATAATCTATATTCACAGGAAAATGTTTTAAAAACAACTGCATTCCTGAAGAACTACATCATTCAAAACTTGCCTAATTTAAGCATAATTTTCTTATAGTTATAATCACAAAATTGGTGTGAAGAGTATGGTCTCAGATACATAAATAGTAACATATTTTTGCTTTAATGATGCTTTTAAAAAAGTTTTGGCAATATCGCTTTTATTTTGCAGCCTTTCTCCCAAATTAACAGCTCTGTGGATCATGGCCAATGTCTTCCCTAACTCTTGCATTTAACTTCATTTCATAGTCCATCCTAAAGGAGATCAGTCCTGGGTGTTCATTGGAAGGACTGATGTTGAAGCTGAAACTCCAACACTTTGGCCACCTGATGTGAAGAGCTGACTCATATGAAAAGACCCTGATGCTGGGAAAGATTGAGGGCAGGAGAAGAAGGGGATGACAGAGGATGAGATGGTTGGATGGCATCACTGACTCAATGGACATGGGTTTGGGTGGACTCCAGGAGTTGGTGATGGATGGGGAGGCCTGGCATGCTGCAGTTCATGGGGTCACAAAGAGTCGGACACAACTGAGCGATTGAACTGAACTGAACGTAGTAATTTACAGCACATGTTCACCGAGAGTACTTTATATGAATTTAGATGGCATTATCACAGGGTAGAAAAGATGTCAGACTATCAAAACAATGAATGATAGAATAACATCACTACAGTCACCAAAATCACACACAAAAACCCTCTGTGCTTGATTCACAAAGACAAGGGTCATGGTGGTTTCTGTTTACTGGTATCATGAGGTGGCCACCAGACTGGTGTGAACTTCCATAAGTTGGTGCTCTGGATCTGTTATGGCATTCTGGATCGGTCATAAGAACTGGAAAGAATTTTCACGATTTCAAGTGGTACCCATTCCATGATATTTTAGTACTATTTTACACAGCACAGTTTTAAATTTGCATAATTCAAATTTATATGAAATTTGAGTGCATTGTTTCAAGGAGAGCAACTTGGAGCAAAGAGCATTCAAGTGACTGCTAAGCCCTCTGAATAGAATAAAGGTGGGAACAACTAGTGAGGGGAAGGGAGACGCAGGCTAATTGGGGGATACTGTTTGAAGAAGGAACATGCTGAATATGAAGTACATTTTGAATATATTTGAATGGAAAATAATTTGGAATGTGTTGAATAGAAGACATACTCTAATTACTATAATATGCCAATTCTTTGGTTCCACTGGAAATTGCTCAATTTCAGAATCAATAGTTCTGATTGCTGCACTTTTAAAAGGACCTTGAATCCTTTCTGTTTTGAAAAGCTCTGCCTTCATCATCTGGGCTTCTCTTCTGGGCCAGGGAATGAAGCTACCCCTAAAGGGTAAGATGTTCTGCCTCAGATTCTTGGAGGGAACTCAGCATTTAAACCTACTTTGTCAAGTACAGGGTATGTGAAAGTCACTCAGTCATGTCTGCCTCTTTAAGATCCCATGGACTGTAGCCCACCAGGCTCCTCTGCCCGTGGAATTCTCCAGGCCAGAATAATGAAGTGGGTAGCCGTTTCCTTCTCCAGGGGATCTTCCCAACCCAGGGATTGAACCCAGGTCACCTGCATTGCAGGCGGATTCCTTACCTTACTGTCTGAGCCACCACGGACCGAAGTACAGGGTATAGATCATGTAACATTTCTTCATAACAAAAAGTAACTAAGAATATCTGCCTTAGAGAAGCTTGAGTGGAAGTTCTAGCTTCCTTTGCTAGAGGATACATTAAATCCTCTTTGGTGCTTGTTGGATGAATGGCATAGATAGTTTAAATTGCTTGCCTATGTGCTCAGTCCTGTCGGACTCTTTGCCACCCCATGGACTGCAGGCCCCCAGGCTCCTCTGTCCATGGGATTCTCCAGGCAAGAATACTGGAGTGGGTTGCCATTTCCTCCTCCAGGGGATCTTTCCCACCCAGAGATCGAACCAGAGTTGCCTGAGTCTCCTGCACTGGTAGGCTGATTCTTGACTTCTGAGCTACCTGGAAAGCCCTTAGGTTGCTGAGGGCAACACAAAGTTTTGGTTTTTATCTTCCCCCTGAATGGACAATTAGAAACTCTGGCTTTGTAACAGCAACAAAATTCCTTCTCTGCTTGAATTAGCACAACAACTGGTCAATCAACAAATATTTATTAAGCTCCTACAATGGAACCTTTGACTTTCTTGTTTAATAATTCTTGACGAATTCTCTAATATCCTGTCAAAGAAAATATTTCTTCTATCATATCATCTTAAAACATGTTTATTTTTCCATTTCATCTTTGGACTAGCTAAAGGTGCATTTCAGTTATTACTGTTCATTTCTTTTCCCCAAAGAGATGGATTAATTCAGTCCTCTATCTCTTGGCAGTTCTAACTTCTACAACCTTAGGTCAGGAATGTGAATTTGTGTTGCCATGTTATAAAAGACAGACTCATAGGTTAAGATCACCTTGTCCAGTGGTTCACACACCTGATTGTGCATCAATATCCTGTGGAGAATATATAGACATATAGAGACAAATGTATGACTGAATGGCAGCCAGTGTTCTTTAATCTATAGAATTTCCCTTGGGGACCACTTTTCCTTTTACAGACCACTTTTACAGGCAAGGAAACTGAAGGTTACAGTTTGTAGTGGAGCTGAGCCAAGAGACTTCAAGCCTGATTCACAGGCCTGTTAAAGTCCTATTGAAGCTTCCATTACATTCAATAACTGCAGGGTTTAAAAAGATAAACATCTCTCAGAGAAATTCCAAATGGATTTTGGGGCATATCCATTTTACCTCTTTCCTTAGATCTCTAGTCTTTATGAGAATATTGGGTCTCAAGTCTCTTAACAGTAAGACCATTACTTAAAAGTGATTCATAGCTTTTCAGGTGACTCAGTGGAAAAGAATCCACCTGCCAATGCAGGAAATGCAAGAGACGTGGATTCGATCCCTAAGTTGTAAAGATCCTCTGGAGGAGGAAATGGCAACCTGCTCCACTATTTTTGCCTAGAAAATCCCATGGACAGAGGAGCCTGGCAGCTACAGTCCACGGGGTTGCAAAGAGTCAGACAGGGCTGAGCAACTGAGCATGAACACAAAGAGCATAATCCTGTCCCACGTGCTACAGGAAACACACGGCAAAGGCTCCGTTTCAGCCCATTAGGAGCTTGTTGCATCTATCATTCGGCATGTACTGAAGACTCACTGTGTGCACAGCTCTATGCTAGACTCTCAGGGAATATAAAAAAAATTTTAACTAAAAAAAATACAGGTGAGTTCCAAAGGAACTTAAGGCTTAAGAGAAGGGACTCAAACATATAAAAAGGCAATGACATGAATTGATAACATTTTCTCCTCTTGGGTGTGATAGGGCAGGTAACTATTGTAACACAGAAACTCCCAAATGTTGACTATAAATTCCTGGTAGGTGGATGTCTTTTCTGCAGGAGGTGACTCAGGTCTTAAGTCTCTTTTCCATCTTTTTTAGCTCTGCCATCCTCACCACCATATTTCACACAGTAACGGCTCCCTGTTGATAGTGCTATAAAATGATCAGAACCATAAAGAAGACTGTTCCACAGTCCTCTCTTCACTGAATCATTTATAAGGCAGCTCTTTGGTTGAGATTCTCTTTAACCATTAGGGCCTCAGTGGCTGAGTGTCCCACCCAAACTTTTTTTTTTTCTTAATTGTTGGCCACACTCTGCAGCATGTGGGACCTCAGTTACCTGACCAGGAATCCAACCCATGCCCCCTGCATTGGAAGGCTGAGTCTTAACCACTGGACTGACAGACAAGCCTCCCCCGCAACCTCTGTGATTCAGCACGACCGCATCATAGGTGTTCACGCGCGAATTTCCCATAGTCTCCTGCTCGTCTACTTTTACTTCCCCTCTGCTCTGATTTCTTGGGCTTCCCTGATAGCTCAGCTGGCAAAGAATCCATCTGCAATGCAGGAGACCCCGGTTCAATTCCTGGGTCAGGAAGATCCCCTGGAGAAGGGATAGGCTACCCACTCCAGTATTCTTGGGCTTCCCTTGTGGCTCAGCTGGTAAAGAATCTGCCTGCAATGTGGGAGACATGGATTTGACTCCTGGGTTGGGAAGATCCCCTGGAGAAGGGAAAGGCTACCCACTCCAGTATTCTGGCCTGGAGAATCCCATGGACTGTATAGTCCATGGGTTTGCAAAGAGTTGGACATGACGCAGCTACTTTCACTTCACTTCACTGATTTCTTTCCTTCATTTGAAAAGTTTTATTGAAGTATAAACTCTAAATTATAAATACAGACTCATAAATGAAATCTAACCTAAGAATATGAATGCTGTTATGCCATCTCCAAGTCTTTCTAATGAAGTACAAACTGCACATGAAGATACAATATCCTGCTATCGAATCCAAAGAGGAAAACACGGCAACTTTGCCAGCTTCTATGATATTTTTTAATCTGAAGAATCAGTAGCAAAACAGAGAAAGTAGGGTTCTGTTCCTAGACTGTGTGTTGACGGCCCTCTGACCCACCTCCTCGCCTGTGGAACATGAGGGACAGGGGTCTTGATTAGGTCTCCTTTCATGGCCAGGCAGTGGAATCCAGCTTCACCAACAAACAACAACAACCTTCCTTTCTGCGGGCTGGTGTGGGGCAGAGAGGAGTTATTGATAAAACAGATTGCACACAGGAAAGCCCATTTGTAAAGATTGTGTAAGAATAGGTTAAAATTTTCACCACCAATATGTACACAGGCACTCCTGCTAATATTTAATGAGATTCTACCCTTTCACCTTGCTGGCACCAGGTTGGGCAGAAAATTCGGGGAGCAGATATCTTCTGAGGATCCTCTTCGACTCTCCCATGGGCCCTGCACGATCCTGACATAGGGTACCACCGAGGGGCGGGTGTGAGAAGATGATGTGGGATTCTCTGGCCAGATGGACTGGTGCTGGACAGACCACATGAGGTAACAGTATCGGTAGACACCTGCCTACATGTATATTCAGCTTTAACACACACATATAAAGTGCTTTTTCCCAATTTTGCAATATATGATGTGGACACGTAAGTCTCTCAGTCATGTCTGACTTTTTGGGACCCCGTGGATTGTAGCCCGCCTGGTTCCTCCATCCATGGGGATTCTCCAGGCAAGAATACTGGACTGAGTAGCCATTCTTTTCTTCAGGGGATTTTCCCAACCTAGGGATCAAACCTGGGTCTTCTGCATTGTAGGCAAATTTTTTATTATCTGAGCCACCTGGGAAGTTCTTTGCAATATATACTTACTGTTTAAAAAAAGAAAAAAGAACTCATGGAAAATTTAGAAAACAAAAATCATACCTCACCTACCTCCCAGGGGCAAATTGCACTTTTATATATCTCTTTCCTGCTTTGTTATATATACAAATATATATACATATATATGTGTGTATGTGTATATATATATCTCACATAATTGGGTTCATATTATATATGTTGTCCTGTAGTCTTTTTTGGATTCAACATTATAATTATGAGGTTTTTGTCCATCTTACTGAAAAAAATCTTTAAGGACAGTATCAGTAAAGGCTAATAGGAATGGACCATGATTTCGCCAATCAGTTCATATTATTGAACATTTCAGTTGTGTTCAGGGTGAAGTGTAACAGAAGGGAGAGTGGTGTGTATGTGTGTCACTGGTTGAGCTGCTGGGGCGTATCTAAAAGGAGGCATGTGCCTGGACACCCTGCTCTGATCTCCTCAAGGGGACTGCTAAGGACGGATCTGCTCTCGGATGTTGTAAATCAGTGACTGTGTGTTTGGTCTGAGCCTGTTTTAAAGACTACTGTACCTCCCTGCCTCCAGATAAGGACCAGCTCTAGCTGGAGCAGGAGGTCCCTCATCCATGTGCCTTCTATCCATCAGGGAGCATAATATCCTGATTTGCCTGCATGGTCCAGATGATGCCGATCATCCCTGCACAGTTACTAATAGCTCTCTTCTTCACTTTTCAGAGTGTCTGTATCCGAAAGATCAATGACACGGTCATCACCTATACCCCGCCTGCTTTACCCACCCAAGTTCCTGCCATGGAAGCATCTGAGGTGACAACATGTTCCTGTCCTCTTTGGGGCAGTGGTCCCCAGGGCTGCGGGGATCAGAAGGAGTAGCTGGGCCATCTGATTCCCTAAAACTATACCCTAAGCACACTGGCCCTGTGGATGCACATAAAGTTTCTACCCTCCAAATACATACAGCATGTGATAAAAGCAGTTCTACTGGGCTTCCCAAGAAGAGCTAGTGATAAAGAACCCGCCTGCCAAAGCAGGAGACATAAGAGACATGAGTTCAATTGCTGGGTCGGGAAGATCCCCTGGAGGAGGGCATGGCAACCCTCTGGTATTCTTGCCTGGAGCATCCCATGGACAGGGGAGCCTAGCAGGCTACAGACCATAGGGTGGCATAGAGTTGGACATGACTGAAGTGGCTTAGCATGCATGCATGCATTGAGGTTGGTAGAAATTTGATTTTAGATCTTATATTTTTATGTATGTTACATAGATTTATTACAATTCAAGAGTATAATTTATCTGTCTTATTTTTAGTTTCCTAACACCGCACACTATACATGCAACGGATGTTCAGCTAATGCCACAAATTCAGTCTTTAAGATAGACATTTAAAAGAAACAATAAATTGGTGACAATTCTAATGTAGAAACATGCCGGAGCCTGCCGGCAAACGAACTGGTCGAGAACGCAATTACCAGAGTACCTAAGAAAAATAAGACTCAGAAAGACTTAGAAAGATGGGGTTGAGAGGGACAGAGCCAGCTTGCGTCTGACTCTGCCAACTTTATTGAAGAATACACCTATATATATGCTAACAGGAGTTACTAATAGATCAAAGGTTTGCATATGTGCAGAGCTACAGGCACAGATGTTTTAAATTCCTCCACTTAAGATCAGTAAAGCATCACCCTAGCGCCCAACATGATTAAGATCAATAGAACATTAACTAGATAGAAAACAGGCTTCAAGCACGACGAGTTTATCAGCACCAGGAAAACAGGCGAAAGGTCACCGGGGTGTTTTTTCCCTGAAGGGGACAAATGCCAGTCTATACTTTAACAAGAAAGGGTGGCAGGACAAAGAGAGACCCTTTGTTCTCTCTTAGGGCCGTAAGGGGCCTGTACGTTCTGGCCGGCTCCCTGCAGAAACACCTCCTGCTAGACAGAGCTAGAAGAAGTGACAGTTGAATTGGACTGTTGACAATGCATTTTGAAAGTGAGCCCTAAAATAGAATATTTTGATATTTTTTTTAATCCGAGTAAGTCAACGTGACATTCATTTTTTAAAAATAGAAATAGTTCTATTTTTGTCTAGTATGAAAGTAAATATCACCAATAACTCCATCCTCCAAATTAAGCACTGCAAACATTTTGGTTCATATCCTTCCAGATTATGTACTATAAATGCAGTCACTAAACAGATGTGGGATGGGCTGCCATCCCCTCCCTGGGTGGCATCTAGCGGGGGCTTTTGTGGGAGATAAAGGGCAGCCAATTTCCGCATAGCGTTCTTCACATAAAGAAGTAATTGGAAGTCGGCCACACTTTCTGTCCCGCACGTGTCCCTGCTGGATGCTCCTCTGCCACCGCCGGCTTCCACCATTGCCCGTGTTGCTGAGTGGGGACCCGAGCTGTGGTCCCTCCTCAGGAAACTGGGCAGAAGTTCTAGCTGAGGATAGAGGGCAGTGGCCTCCCCTTTGCCACCTGACCCTTTTCATCTCCCCCAGAGTAGCACGCCAGACTGCAAGGTGGGGGCAAGTGTAAAAAGGAATTACAAGGATTCACCGATGTTCATAGCAGCACTACTTACAACAGCCAAAGGTGCAAACGACACAGATGTCCATCAACAGATGAATGGGTAAACAAAATGTGGCACATACGCACAATGGAATATTATCCAGCCTTTGAAAGGATTGGAAGTTCTGATACAGGCTACAACCTACATGCACCTCGAAGACATTACACTAAGGGAAAGAAGGGAAAGGAAAGTGAGTCGCACAGTCATGTCTGACTCTTTGCGACCCCATGGAATGTAGCCCGCCAGGTCCTCTGTCCATGGAATTCTCCAGGCAATAGTACTGGAGGCAGTTGCCATTCCCTTCTACAGGGGATCTGCCTGACCCAGGGATTGAAACCGGGCCTCTTGTATTGCAGGCAGATTCTTTACCAATTGAACTACTAGGGAAGCCCCAAGAGAAAGAAGCCAGACACAAAAGGACAAATACTGCATGATTCCATTTGTGTGAGATCCCTGAAATAGGCAAATTCATACGGACAGACAGTAGAACAGTGGTTCCCAGGGGTTGGGGGAAGGGGAGTTGCTGTTTAATGGGTACAAGATTTCTCTTTGGGATCATGAAATGCTTTGGAAACAGAGTAGGTAGCAGTGATGGCTGCACAGCATTGTGAATATACTTAATGCCACTGAATCCTATACTTAAAAAGGGTTAAAATGGCAAATTTCATGTTACATATATTTTATTACAAAAAAAAAAAGTTTTGGGGAAAAAAAAAAGAGGAATTACAATGTAAGAGAGTGAGCGCTCAGGTCCCACCTACAGACAGCCCTCCTCCTGGCCCCAACCAGCCACCTAGTCTCCCCTGGGGGACGCCCAGGGCCCTTCCTCCCCCTGCAAACTTGGCTGTCTCATCCTCAGTTTGCACCCCCATGCTCCCTTCATTCCAACACAGCCCCCACTGTTGCCAGTGTCTCTGTTTAAAAAAATTCATCCCATCCTCTGAACAACGTCACTCCTGCCCACAGGGTGCACCCTCGCTCGTGGGTGCTTCTCCACACTCAGGGTGCCAGGAGGGCCGCAGGCCTGGAGGGGTGCTTCCAGCTGATCTAGTCAGACAAATACACCTCTTAGGGACAAGTGATTCTTCCTGGACACAGCAGAGCTGAACCCGTTCTGAGGAGCTCCTCAATCAACAAAGCCCTCACTCTGCTCTTGAAGCTGGTGGTCTCAATGGAAAAGAGCTGGGTTTCTGATGTTCTTCTGAGGAATCTCTTGTTGGGATCACAAAAGACCTTATTCCCCTGTAATGTCTGCTTTCTCCTCCCCTAGGAGGGTCTCAGGACTCCAGAGCCATTTCATGTAAAAGGAGAGGGTGGTAGTTTCTTCTGTCACATGAACACAGAAACTCTGGCAACAGAGTTTTGATTGTGCCAAAGACTCAGATACCCTGACATGGGGGAGATGCAGAGACAGTCCAGTTGCCGGGGACAGGCCAAGCTCCTTAAAATCAAGGGATGTCAAAGGGCACTTGAGAGACCATCCAGCTACAGCCTTGATCTGTCAGAAGCTCCTTGGGAAGGAACTTTTATCCTGGCCAAAGCTGGGATCCCAGCGCAAGTGCAGAAAAGTTGGATGGGCTCCATGGGGCTTGACAGACCTGAGGTTTGAGCACCAAGTCCCTAGAAGACCAACTCCCCACCGCTGAGGAAGGAGGGGTGAGAGAGCCAGAGTCAGCAGCAGGATGGGCCCGGGGCTCTGAGTCTCTTAGGGTTGTGGGTGATGTGCCCTGATTCACCCCAAAAGTGGGGCCCAGGCACCCCAGGAAGGAGAGTACTTGTAAAGAATTAACAACCAAAGGATGATTTTCCTGAAAGTTCAAGTCACTGGGATAAGGAACCTGCTAAAAATGCTAGACTGGAGAGGTGGAAGGGACCCTCCCACAGGCTGAAGCAGCGGCAAGTCAGCAGAGTCAGGGCAGGTTACAGGAGAACGGACACGCAGGGTCACCAGAAGTCATGGGTGGCTGGACCATGTGAGCATCTCAGGAGTCAGGAGGAAGCAGGCTTCAGCAGGGACACCCAGGGCTGAGAGATAACCAGGGCCGCAGAGGGACAGCACGGTTATTTGTGAAAGGCCTGTGTCTGTCTTTATCACCACACTTTGCCTTATCTTCAGTGTGTGCATCCTTAGCTGCTCAGGCGTGTCCTACCCTTTGCAACCCCATGGACTGCAGCCCACCTGGGGATTCTCCAGGCTAGAATACTGGAGCGGGTTCCTACGCCCTCCTCTAGGAGATCTTCCCAACCCGGGGATTGCAGGTGGATTCTTTACCATCTGAGCCACCAGGGAAGCCCTTTCTCTTACTCTCAGAGAAGCTAGAAAAAGGATATTGCCTCTTTCAGGGGCTAAATTTTGAACTGGGTGATCTTGATAAAAAACTAAATAAACATCCTTCTGCTCTGTGGATGCCCCCTTATACATTCAAATAAAAGCAAAAGACAATAATAGCAATAAGGCATGTGAAAAGTCTGATCTAGACTCTGCTGCAGGGAGAAAGGCCTCTTTTAACATACTCATTTCTGTCACCCAGGTCGCTGCCACCTGAATGCTACCTTCACGAGACATCATTTGCCCTCCATGTTTTCATCATCAGGTTATCATGTCATTTCTTTTGAAAGATGACATGATGTGGATTTGAACAAACAGCCCGAGGGGAGAACTGATGTATTCCTTAAAAGGGGGTACATGTACTTCCTTTCTCAAGCACCTTGAAAACAGACTGCCTTCTGTGTAAGATTTGCCAATAAGCAGCAAGACACCCAAGGAAGGACCAAATGAACAGAAACCTTCGAATATGCCACACGTAGTCTTCTCCCAACTGATCTAGCCACAGGGCCACCAGCATGGCTTGGGCAGCCCTCTCCCCAGACAGATAAGGGACGGAGTAAAGGAGCCTCCAGGGAACCAACAATGCCCACATTTTGCAAGAGCAGAAAGAGTACATAGGGTGTGATTTTGTCCCAGAATTTCATTGCTTGTTAGCCAATCTGTGTGGCTGGCATGAGACCCTTCCCACAGGCCTGGCTGAGCCAAGGGCAGTTTCTAAGAACTCCAGGGTACAGTTATTGTGTTAATTTGTCCCCATACCAATGCCAGCATGGAGCCTCTGCTCTCTGACTTCTCAAACTGAACTGACAGCCAGCGCCGGGAAGTTGGCCAAAGGGGTCACAGGAACAAGTACTGAATGCAGCTGATTTCAGCTGGCACGTGGGGACCACATTTACAAGCACAATCACATCCATTCTGTTCCACCATTACAAATCCCTGCCTTTGAAGGGGGCTGGGGCGAGAGCAGGGCTCCCCTCGTGGCTCAGTGGTAAAGAATCTGCCTGTCAGTACAGCAGATACAGGTTCAGTCCTTGGATGAGGAAGATCTCCTGGAGGAGGAAATGGCAATCCACTCCAGTATTCTTGCCTGGAGAATCCCACGGACAGAGGAGCCTGGTGGGCTAGCAAAGAGTCCATGGGGTCGCAGAGAGCCGGACACCCCGAGTGACTGAGTGTACATAGGAGACAGCATGGCATTTATCCATATTGCAGCATGCCTCCCATCATGCCTGGATTGCAGATGTTGGTGTCCTGGTGTCTTAAAATGCTTTATTCCTCATTCTAGAGAAGGAGACGATTCATAGGAACAGAAAATGTTGTGTTAAATGGGAGAAGGTGGCAGGGATATCCCTAAGAACTGAATAGAGGCATCTACTGTATCAATACTGGCTATAGCACTTTTATTGGCTCATTTATTCATTGATTTATTTTTTCAAATTGTGTATATGTGTGTGCACGTATGTGCGCACGTGTGTGTGTGTGTGTGCACTCGTGAGGCACCGCATGCAAAGGTGACTTCTTTCTGCTCTGTTTACCAGTTTACTTGAGGCCACAAGACTTTAAGTACATGGATGAGTGGCAAGCTGGATTAAAGGAATGCTTAAGGCACAGTGGTTTATCTCTGGGCTGAAGACAGATTTACGTTTTACTGAAGTCTGTTCCAGTGCTGCTTTAGGTAATAGAGATGGAGGAGTGGACCTAGAGAGGCTGGAGGAGAAGTTTTAAAAGAGATATTGAGGTCACCCATTAGAAAAAGGATGAAATCTTGCCATTTGCAGCAATATGGACAGAGGATGGACCTTGAGGGCTTTTGTGAAGTGAAATTTGAGGGGACAAATCCATATGATATCACTTACATGTGATATTTATGGAAAAAAACAACAGCTCATAGAGAACAGACTGATGGTTGCCAGAGGCAGGGGTGGGGAAATGGGATGAAGATGGTCAGAAATATAAACTTCCACTTATAAAATAAAAAACAGGAATATAAAGTGCAGCATGATAATGATAATTAATAATATACACATTTGAAAGCTGCTAAGAGTAGATCTTAAAATTTCTCATCACAGGAGAAAAAGGCATACCTGTGCATGGTGATGGATGTTAATTAAACATTGTGGTGGTTATTTCACAATATATATAAATATTGTCATTATGTTGTATACCTAAAATTAATGTAAAATGTCAAACTTACCATAATTAACAATTATTTTTAGTAAATTATTAACAGAGGAAGAGAGACTGAGGGGGCATAGCTGCCATAGGGAATGGAAATTTGGGAGAAGGGGTTTATATTTCAGAAGGTTTTTAAGGGGTGTTAGTGATTTGTGGTGTTAAAGCCCTCTCCCACAGGCCAAAGAAGCGACCTGTAAAAATCCATGTATTTTACACCGTAAAAGGATATAAACAAGAGGACGGGGCTTACTTCTGACCTGGGGAGTAAGGAAAGACTTAAGAAGCAGCCTGCAGACTTGATCTTGAAGAGTGGGTGGGAATTTTCTAGAAAGAAAAAGATGGGTAGGGAAGTGGGTTTCAAAAGCAAGACCTGGATAGATGCTGGTGATACATTTTATCAGCAGTCTGAGGAAAATAAGAAAAATAAGGGTAAGTGTTTCCAAAAGCTAGATATACTCAATTTGAAGAAATTTTGGTTTGTTTCTATCTTTGAAATATGACAGTTTTTCTTTTTCTTATGAAATCAAGATAGTAACAAAGTGTACCATTATGACTTCAAGCATCTCTTATTTGACCCAAATAAAAATAACACACATTACCCACACTTTTAAAAAAATGTACTGGTCTTTGAAATTTTAAGATGTGAGACGAGCGGGTAACGAAGTACCAGTTGAGGAGACGATAATGCAGAGGCTGTTCTGCGGGGAAAGGTCAGGGTGCATGCGGAGAACGGGAGGAGTGCAGTGTGTGGGGGGGTGGGGCAGAGCAGTGGTTTAGGGTTCGACGGGGTGGTGGGGGGGGAGGATCTTTCAGAAGGAGCTCGGACTTTATCCTTCAGGAAGCAGGAACCAGTAAGGATTTATAAGCGAAGGAGAGAGCTGATTATATATGTTGTGTTGGAAGATTGACTGTTCCAGTAAAGCAAGTAGACTGTAGAAGAAAGAAAGAGACAAAAAGACCGGTGATAGAATTGTAAATGTGAGACAGGCTGTTCTTAGTCACTAAGTCATGTCCGACTCTTTGTGACCCTGGGGACTGTAGCCCAGCAGGCTCCTCCATCCATGCGGATTCTCCAGGCCAGAATACTGGAGTGGGATGCCACGCCCTCCTCCAGGGGCCTTTCTGACCCAGGGATTGAACCCAGGTCTCCCGCACTGCAGGTGGATTCCTGACTGTCTGAACCACCGGGGAAGCCCAAAATACTGGAGTGGGTAGTCTATCCCTTCTCCAGGGGATATTCCCAACCCAGGAATTGAACCAGGGTCTCCTGCATTGCAGGTGGATTCTTTACAAGCTGAGATACCTTATATCACTGTAAATATTATTATAGTGATATAATCATAATATAAATATGAGATGAAGGTGTTAATTATAGCAGTAGGAATGAGGAAACAGAACAAGACTTTAAAGATTATCCCAAGATGGAATTGGTCTCAGAGATATTCAGGGGAAGGCTTTAAAGAATGTGTTAGGGCACCATTAACCAACAGAAACAACCAGTGCATCCAGGTCTATCTGAGGATGTCTAAGATCTCAGCTGTAAAAGCTGCAAATAGCCTATCAATCGTCTAGACTCACTAATCCCAGTTCTTCAACCAACCTGAACAGTTAAAGAGCACCAAGGTCTCCATCAATCCACATCACCTAAGAAAGTGTGCATTTGGGGGCATTGGTCAGGACTGGCAATAGGGAATGGTGGAGATTGTGACAAACCAGAGCTCACATGACCTGTCTAAGGAGCAGCTGCTATTCTGTACCAGCCATCATTGCAACATGGAAAAGAAGGCAGATCTGATATTTTTTTTAACAAAGCTGGAAACCTGGATTTGTGTTGTCAGATAATTTATGTTTAAAGAACAACCACAACATTATGGGAGTCAAAGTTCATTCTATTTGCAAGCTGAACATATTTGATTGACCTTTAATCTGAGATCTTTGGACTGGGGATTAGATAACTATTATGCTGATACAGATCCACAACAAAACCTCACACAAGGAAGAAAAACATGAAGCCATTTAGCAGAACGGGTAAGCTCTGAGTCACCTGTGATAAGAAATAAAAGGATATGAGATATTAAAATTTTTTAAATTAATTTTAGAATTAACAAACAGCAATCTCAATTCTCGATTTCTGCTTCCAGAAGATGTGAAAATAGGTTTTGGATAGTACACTTGTAACCTCCAAGCAATACTATTATAATGATGATCATATTTGTTTTTCACAACTGCTTTCTTTGAAGGAAGGACAAATGTTATCATTCTCAACAGACTGATGAGAAAACGGAAGCAAAATGAGGTCTGCAGTTTCCCTAAGAGGCTGAGTGTGGTGGGAGTGGAGCTGAAGCTACAACCTTGTCTACTGTCATTACCCCAGACGTCAGGCCACACAGTCACTCGGGGATCATCAGGTGTATCCCCTCTCAGAACAGAAAATCTCTCTGCAGCTGATGGTCTCTGAGAGTGGCAGAGAACAGTACGGGTAGACAGGGTGGGAGAGAGTGTCCAGGCAGCACATGACTCAACTGGGAACGTTCACGGTCCCAGGCTTGGCACTGCCCCAACACGTGTGTGTGTGTGTGTGTGTGTGTGTGTGTGCGTGTGTGCGTGTGCATTAGTTGCTCAGTCGTGTCTGACTCTTTGTGACTCCATGGATTGCAGCCCACCAGGCTATTTTGTCCACAGAATTCTGCAGGCAAGAATGCTGGAATGGGTTGCCATGCTCTTCTCTTCTTCACCCAGGAAAGAACCGCAAATGACAACCCAGGCCTGTGGAGAGAACTCTCCTGTCTGCCTCTCGCCACAGGGGTTGCCCTGTTCTCTCCCCCTGCAGGAGGCCAACGGGATTCCTGTCTTGTCCCCGTTTCTGTCTTCAGAATTGGGCAGGGGCTAGAGGTAGCACTTCTAGCTCAGTTGGTAAAGAATCTGCCTGCAATGCAGGAGACCAGGGTTTGATTCCTGGGTCGGGAAGATCCCCTGGAGAAGGAAATGGCAACCCACTCCAGCATTCTTGCCTGGACAGAATCACATGGACAGACGAGCCTGATGGGCTACAGTCCATGGGGTTGCAACAGTCGGACATGACTGAGCAACTAAACCACCACCACGAGAGGTAGGACTGCTCTGTTGTTCCCTAGGTTCCTAACTCTGGGGTAACTTATTTTGCTTTTAAAATTAATTTATTTTTAATTGATATATAGTTGACTTACTGTATTGGGTTAGTTTTGGGTGTACAGCAAAGTGATTCAGTTGTATATATATTCGACTCAGGTGAGGGAAGACGAGGAAGAAAGTCTGGACAGAGGGAAATGCCATGTTGTGATTCAGTTTCTTCAAAGGCCTCAGCCAACCCTGCAAGGAGTTCTGAACCTTGTCAAACCTTTCCCGGGTTGTCCCGAGTTGGGGTAGAGGCCTCTGTAATGCACATGAGTCAGGCACTGGGTACAGGCTGCACCCAGGAAGGCAGGATGCGTCAAGCAATGTGGGGTTCAGTCAAGAGCAAGAGCCTGAGAGGGGCTGACACCAGAGAGCGGTCTGCAGGCACCAGTCCTGCTGCTGGTGGAACAAGTCCTTCAGTCTGGAGTGAAGACTGGGGAATGCAGTAAAGCATCCACTGCAATGAGACTACCCACCAACCCAGGCAAGTTGCCATCTTCACATGGAAAACACAGTAGAAGTGATCGATGCATAACTCTCAAGTATTTGGGTCACTTCCTAATTTTCAAAGCGCAAACAAAAATAAATTAATAACCAGGCAATTACAGAGTCACAGATGCTAACGGGCATTTTAGCATTTACCTCCTCCAATTGCTTTATTTATGGATGAAGCAAATTGAAGAACAGAGATGTTTAATGACTGCCCTAGGTCACGGTA